GTGCTTCTTGCGCAGGAGCAGGCGGAAGATCCGGGCGCAGCGGGAGCCGAACCTGGGTGGGAAGAGCGGGATGAGGAGGGATTGTGGGAAGGGGCCCTGGAAAAGCCTGGGAGCATCCCAGGTCCCCTTGTCACCTCTCCTCCACGATGGACTCCAGCGTGGCCGTGGCCAGAGACGCCAGGGCCTTGTGCAGGTCTGCAGGGGGGAGGGCGAGGTCAAGGAGAAAATTCCAGAGCTTGGGAATGTTTCAGGCCTGGGAACACCAAGTGTGTGTCCCCCCCTCTCCAAAGGATACTGACGGTGTAGGTGCCCCCACCGCTGTCCCCAGACTTCCCCACGAATTCCAGCTGCAGGGAGAGACAACAGGGAAGAGGTCAGGACATCCCCAGAGAAGGAAAACATGGCTGGTTTTTTCCCTTAAAATCTGGAGTGGGAAGAAAAAGATGGAGATTTTGAGAAAAGAAAAAAACAAACTTCAGTATCTCTTAAATATCTTCAATATCTTTTAAGTTAACTTTAATATCTGATAACTAACTCCACCATCTGCACAAAAACTTCAAAATTGGTCAGTATCTGTTAAAAACCATTAACTGTCAGTAAAACCCACGTTCCCCTCGGAGAGCAGAGCGAATTCCATGGAAGCATGGAATGCCAGGGGCTGGAAAAGCCCTGGAGAGCCCGGGGGCACCCACCGGATCATCAGCCAGGAGCGCCAGGTACTGGTCCAGCACCTGCTTCCCGATGTTGTACCCGGCAGGAAGAGCCCGGAATATCTACGTGGGAGGGAAAAAAAGCAGGGAATGTCATAGGCATTCCAAGGGATTCCCAGCACTCCAGGGGCTCCCAGGGACCCACCTCGTTGGAGGAGAGGGGTTGGGTGTGGGACGCGCCCGAGGCCGTGGTCACCTCGCTCATGCGCAGCATCGTCCGCACCACCTCGCTGCTGGTCTGCAGGGGGGAAAACGGGGGAAAAACGGGATTCAGGGCAGGGAAAAGCCCGGATCCGGAGCGGGAATGGGGGTGGGAGAGCCAGACCTGGTCCATGCGGCTGCCCACGGCGCTGACCAGAGCCTGGTCACGGAAGTGCTGGTGGAAACGCTCCAGGTTCACCTGCCAGTAAATGCCGTCGTCCGGAGGGGGCTGAGGGGGGAAAAGGGGTAAAAAATGAGGGAAAGGGGGTGGGAAAAGTGAGGGAAAGGAGGCACGAAGCTGGTGGGAAGGAGGAGGGAAAAAAATGAGGAAAAGGAGGCAGAAAGCGGCGGGAAATTAAATAGAAGAGATGGGAAAATGAGGGAATGAGGCAGGAGAAAGGAGCGGTAAAAAGTGAGGGAAAGGAGGCACGAAGCTGGTGGGAAGGAGGAGGGAAAAAAATGAGGAAAAGGAGGCAGAAAGCGGCGGGAAATTAAATAGAAGAGATGGGAAAATGAAGGGAATGAGGCAGGAGAAAGGAGCGGTAAAAAGTGAGGGAAAGGAGGCACGAAGCTGAGGGAAATGGAACATAAAAATAAGGGAGAAGAGATGGGAAAATGAGGGAAATGAGGCACAAAAAAAGGAGGAAAAGGTGCCACCAAACTGAGGGAAATGAAACAGAAATAAGGAAAAAGAGAAAAAGGAGCCGCAAAACTGAGGGAAAAGGGGCAGAAAAAGTCTGAAGGAAAGGAGCCAAAAAAATTAGGAAAAGGGGCTACAAAACTGAGGGAAATGAAACATAAAAATAAGGGGAAAGAGATGGAAAAGTGAGGGAAATGAGGCAGGAAAAAAGAGCAATCAAAAGTGAGGAAAAGGGGTCACAAAACTGAGGGAAAAGAGGAGCAAAAAAATGTGGAAGAAGAGTCACAAAAAATTAGGAAAAGAAGCCACAAAAAATGTGAAAGAGGAGCCCCAAAAAAAGAGAAAAAGGAGCCACAAAACTGAGGGAAAAGGGGCAGAAAAAGTCTGAAGGAAAGGAGCCAAAAAAATTAGGAAAAGGGGCCACAAAACTGAGGAAGAGGAGATGAGAAAAGTGAGGAAGAGGAGACAAGGAAAGTGAGGAAGAGGAGCCACAAAAGATGAGGAGGAGGCAGCAGAAAAACGAGGAAAAGGAATCACAAAAAAATGAGGGAAAGGGCTCCCAAACCCCCCTGGTTTCTCCAGTTCAGGAATATGCCCATCCCACCCTTCCCAGGCCCCGATTCCCAGCCCCAGAATTCCAGGTACCTCCGAGCTTCCTCCCTCCTGCTTCTGCCTCTTGGCCTTGCGCTGCCCGTCCTCCTCCTCCTCGTCGCACGAGCGTCTCCGCTTCCCTTTCCCTGCCGAGCCAAAAATCCGGCGTCTCCCACCCGGAATGGCGGGGCCGAGCGCTTCCCGAGGCCCCCGAAATCCCGGGAATTCCCTCACCGGCGAGGCTGAGCCGCGGCACGACGTACATGTCCCTCTCGGCGATGGCCAGGGCGGGCGCGGGGGGCGGCGGCTCCGCGGCGTTCCGGGGGTTCTCCGGGACCATCGGGCACCTCCGGATGAAGTGGGTGTCTGCCAGGCGCACGAACGTGCCCGACACCTCGGCGTAATCCATGGTTTTCCCATCTAGGAGGGAGAGGAGCCGTGCAGTGGGTGGGTCTGGGACAGTCCCGACGCCGCGGTCACCAAGCGTCAACACCCCCCAGACCCTCTGGGACCACCTTCCCAAACCTGATCCCAGATCCCTGTTTTTCTGAGGAGCTTCCCACCTTCCATGGTCTCCATCAGCCTTTCCATGACTGGATCCAGGATGTTCCTGAGGCTCTGGAGGACACGGTGACACCGTGGCCACCACCACGACCATCACGGCCTGGCTGTGAACACCCCACGGAGCCTCTGCTCCCACATTCCCAAAGCTGCTCCCAGATCCCTATTTTTCTAAGGAGGAGCTTCCCACCCTCCACAGTCTCCATCAGCCTTTTCATGACTGGATCCAGGATGTTCCTGAGGGTCTGGAGGACACGGTGACACCACCACGGCCTTACCATGAACACCCCACAAATCCTCTGCTCCCACATTCCCAAACCTGCTCCCAGACCCCTATTTTTCCAAGGAGGTGCTTCCCACCCTCCACAGTCTCCATCAGCCTTTCCATGACTGGATCCAGGATGTTCCTGAGGCTCTGGAGGACACGGTGACACTGTGGCCACCACCATGACCATCACACCCCATGGAGCCTCTGCTCCCACATTCCCAAACCCGCTCCCAGATCCCATTTTTTTTAAAAGGAGAAGCTTCCCACTCTCCATAGTCTCCATCACCTCTATCTCCATGGTCTCCATCAGCCAGATCCAGGATGTTCCTGAGGCTCTGGAGCACATGGCAACACCGTGGCCACCACCACGACCTTGCCATGAACACCCCACAAATCCTCTGCTCCCACATTCCCAAACCTGCTCCTAGATCCCTATTTTTCTAAGGAGGAGCTTCCCACCCTCCGTGGTCTCCATCAGCTGGATCCAGGATGTTCCTGAGGGTCTGGAGGCCACAGTGACACCACCACGACTTTGCCATGAACACCCCACAGATCCTCTGCTCCCACATTCCCAAACCTCCTCCCAGATCCCTATTTTTCTAAAGAGGAGCTTCCCACCCACCATAGTCCCCATCAGCCGAATCCAGGATGTTCCTGAGCCTCTGGAGGACACGGTGACACCACCATGACCTGGCCCTGAACACCCCCCAAAGCTTCTGGTCCCACATTCCCAGAACTGCTCCCGTTTTTTTTCCAGGGAGGACCTTCCCTCCCACCTTCCATGGTCTCGGTGAGGCGATCGGCCACCCTGGCCACGGCGCAGCTCATGGACAGGTGGCCGTGGAGCAGCAGCTCCTCCACCAGCAGCTCCCCGGGGTCCCCGTAGAGCGTCTTGGCCGTGTAGATGTAGCGGGGGTAGCGCAGGATCCGCAGGATCCGCTCGCTCCGCGCCTCGTATTCCACGGATCCGCGGGGCTGCACCTCGTACCGCACCAGGTCGTGCTGGAGCAGGACACAAAGGGCCTTCTTCACCTGTGGGAGGGAGCGGGAAGGTTGGGATCCCACTTCTTCCCCTGCCCAGATCCCCGTTTTCCTCACGGAAAATCCGAATTTCCCTCCTCCTTCCTTTTTGGGGGAACACAAACCTCCCGCTCCGGAAAAATTCCCCCTTCCTGATTTATTTCATTTGAAATGCCTTGTCCTTCTCCACCCACCTATCCCTGTCCCTGGATTCTTTTGCTCCCTACACAGCACCACTTTCCCTCCTCCTTCCTCAAGTTTTCCAGGGCCACACGAACCTCCCACTCCTGGTTCATCTCATTAAAAATTCCTGTCCTTCTCCACGTTTTCCCACCGGTTTATTCCCATCTTTCCTCCCTACAGAGCCTCAGAGTTTCTCTCCTCCTTCCCAAAGAAGTTTTCCAGGGAGATACAAACCTCCCACTCCAGAAAACCCTCTGAGTTACTGTTATTAAAAATTCCTCGTCCTTCTCCAGGTTTTCCCACCGTTTTCCCCCTCTGGCCCCCTCCCACCCCGTACCTGATCCGGGAGCAGCCCCGTGTCGCCCACCAGGAGCCGCAGCGGCCGCGGGCCCGTCCGGAGCAAGGAATTCCCGACTTTCTCCACGATCTCCCCGAAGTGCTCCTGGAGCAGGAGGGAGCAGAGCCGCAGCTCCGCCTGCGTCATACCGGCGGCTCCCAGGAATTCCAGGAACGTGGTGGGGAAAGAACAGCTGGGGGGTGAGGGGGACAGAGAGGGGACAGATGTTGACCCCCCCCCCCGGGGTTCTCTGTGTCCCCTTCTGGGGGAAATCAGCCGTGTCACAGGGATCCCGGCGCCCCTCCCGCCCCTCTTCAGGTGGGATCTCCCCTCCTCCCCCCCTCAGAGGTCCCGGGCCCTCCTTGCTCTCACCCCCAGACCTGGCCTAGGCCGCAACCGCCGCCATGGCAACGACCACTTCCGCTTTCCCCTCCACTTCCGGTTCCGCCACTTCCGCCGCCGCCGCTGCCGCCGTCCCTCCTTGGGAGGCCCCACAGCAGGGGGCGCACTGCGCGCCGCTACCCCCGCGGGGCCGCTCTGTCCTCCCGCCCTCGCTCTCCGCGATGGGAGCGGAGCAGACGAGCTGAGCGGAAGTGCGGGGCCGCTCTGGGCCGCGCTCTGTGGCCCCCCCGGAGGAGTGACGGCGGGCGAAGATGGCGGAGGCGGCGGCGGTGCCGCAGCACCGGTTCTTCTGCCACAGCTGCAAGGGCGAGGTCAGCCCCAAGCTGCCGGTGAGCCCCGGGCGGGAGGGGGACTCGGGGGAGCTCCGAGCTGCCGGTGAGCCCCGGGCCGGGGGGGGTGGGAGGGTCCGGCAGGCGGGGGTGACCCCCCAGTCCTTCCCTGAGGCCTCAGAGGAAGGGGTGACCCCCCCCCATCCACTCAAGGGTGACCCCCTTCCCCTCAAATCCCTGCAGGAAGGGGTGACCCCTCTCCCAATGCCCGACTCTTCAGTGTCTCCAGCCCCCCCCAGTCCCTTTAGAGACCCCTCAGCCAAGGGGGGACTCCCCATCCTGCCTCCTCCCCGTGCTGGGCCCCCCCAAAACCTCCCGAACCTGCAGGGACGGAGCGACCCCAAAATCCCCCCACGGAACAGGATTGACGACCCCAAAATTCCACCCCCCATCCCATTCCCATCCNAAGGGAGTCTGGGAAGAGCCAAACGTTTGGATAGTCTGGAATGATGTGGGATGGTCAGAGTTGGGATGGGATAACTCTGGATCGGGGTGGGGGGGTGGGAACTGAGGGGGGATGGTCTGGAATCGAGGTGGGATAGTTTGGAATGAGCTGCTTTGCTTAAGGAAAAATTGGGAAAGAGAGGCTGTTTGAGCTGTGGGGATGGTCCTGCGTATTCCCAAGGAAATAGAGATCCCGTGGGATAAGGATCCAGAGGTGAACAGGGGCTGGGGCTGGAAAAATGGAGCTGGAAAGCAACAGAATCCGTGGATGGAGCCGGAGCTGCCGGGGTTGGGTTACCGGGAGGTGTCACCTGCGCTGGCTCCGGAATCTGATCCAGCTGGGAATCCACGGGAAGGAGCTGGAGCAGCCAGGGTGGGGGCTGGGCTTTGCTTCCCACCTCCTCCAGAGGGGGATTTGGGCCTGGAGGCTCCCGGGATGCCGATGGGAAGGGATCTGGGAAGCACACGAGGAAGGGTTTGGATGGAGATCCCACAAAACCGGGAAGGGCAGACTTTGGGAATGCTTGGGGGGGGGAAAGGCATCTGGGATTTCCTGGGAAAGCGTAGGGAAAGAAAAAAGGAATGTTCTGATCCGGCAGGGATCAGTTCTGGATGGAAAGGAGTGGGATTTGGGAACACTCCAGCTGTGGGATGGAATCCAGGGAAGGAAAGATCTGGGAGAGAGAATCCAGGAGGGAAGGTGAGGGGGGGGAGCTTTTTGGTTTTTCCATGTTTTTCCCCAAATTCAAGGCAATCCACAGCTCTGGGAGAGAACTCTGGGAATGAGAGCAGGGAAAACTTTTCCCTTCCGAAGGAATTTTCTCCCACACCCAAATCCCTTGGGATTGGGATTGGGATGGGGTGGGATGAGCTGGTGGGCAGCCAGGATCGGGAATCTTCCCGGGAGGGGGCTGATTTTCCCTGGAATCCCGAGTATCCCGTGGCTAATCCCAACTCCTTGCCTTCCCAGGAATACACCTGCCCCCGCTGCGAGTCCGGCTTCATCGAGGAAGTCACTGATGATTCCAGGTACCGGAAAATCCAGGGATATCCCAGAGCTGGGCACGTGGAGAGACAACAGGGAGATGAAGTGGGAAAAATGCCATATTTTGGTCTTTTTTTCCCCCCCCTTTTTGCCCTTTTTTT